AAATCTGCTGTCAAATAACTTCATGAATTTATTCATCAAGTTCTTGACGATTTAGAGCATGTTCTAATTTTCGTCAATTTCTTCGTGAAGTTCGGAAGTACCAACCCAACAGATTTCCAGCCTCAGATCAGTAATGAGGTTATGTTATTGGAATATGTAATTAATTGTGTGGCGTCGTGCTAGTTTTGCATTGTTTTTACGGATTTGTTACTTACAAAAACTATTATTTATATAATATGTGTCAGAACGGTACCGCTGTTGTATCACTACAATTAAGAGTGGAAAGGTGACATTTTTGACATTTATTTGCTTCTATGATTCATTGATAGAACTGATTCATAGGTCAAAAAACTAGACAAAGTCTGTAGCAGTGTAAAACCACACTGTTTACCAATAAATTCGTGAATTAATTCATGAAGAACTAAGTCAATTTATTCATCAATAAATTGTCAATGTAAAACAGCTATTAGAGCATGTTCTAATTTTCGTCAATTTCTTCGTGAAGTTTGGAAGTACCAACCCAACAGAATTCCAGCCTCAGATCAGTAATGAGGTTTATGTTATTGGAATATGTAAATAATTGTGTGGCGTCGTGCTAGTTTCGCATTGTTTTTACTGATTTCTTACTTACAAAAACTAATATTTATATAATATGTGTCAGAACGGTACCACTGTTGTATCACTACAATTATGAGTGGAAAGGTGACATTTTTGACATTTATTTGCTTCTTTGATTCATTGGTAGAACCCATTCATACGTCAAAAAACTTGACAAAGTCTGTAGCAGTGTAAAACCACACTGTTTACCAATAANTCAAAATAAACAGGAAATGCCCCTGGTCCTAGTTCAGGCCCCACAGGACCAGGAGGACATCCTGAAGGTAACTCGCTGCTGCTCGCTCGTGGTTCCAGTAGAGCTGCGGCGAAAGCAGCGGGTTGCCACATAGTGCCACCGGTGCCAGCGGTTCGGCCACGGCCAGACCCGGTGCACAGCTGAGCCAAAGTGTCTAAAATGTGGCGAAAACCACAGCACGCACGTCTGCAAAAAGGCCAAAGGCACGCCCGCCAGATGTGCAAATTGCGCCGGGCCACACCTCGCCAGC